AACTACGTGTCCTAGCTCGTCGCTGATCTTGGGACCAGTACCACCACCATGATCTCTCTGGTACCGTCCCTTCTCGTCTCTCTCCCCCTCTCCCTTGTCACCTCCCCGTCATTCTCTGAACTTGATCCTTATGCTTTCCGTGGCTCCTTTTGCTGACCCTTTGTCTGTGCATACACACAGAACAAGTACGCCCTCGCCTTCGGCCTCGGTATCACCAGCCTTCTCGGCCTCGGCCTCTGGTTTGATCACTACCGCCGCAACAACAAGGAGTTCCGCAAGAACCTTCGTGCGTCGCCCACCATCTTCTCCCATGGCCCTCCCTTCGCTCCACCCACTCATACTGACCTCCCCTGCTTGCCGCTCCCCGCACCCCTTGTGGCCATTGCCCCTCTGCTGCAGGCCGCATCGAGTACCGCGAGGCCAAGATCCAGGAGAAGCGCGCCAGTGCTGAGATCTACAAGCACGTCGCCAAGGAGATCCCCACCGACCAGGCTGAGCGTCGTGAGTTCATGCTCGAGCAGGTCAACCTTGGTGATAAGTTCCTCAACGAGGGTACGCGTCAACGCGCGGAATGCTGCTTCTGGCGCCGCATCCTGTCCCTGTGCCATGCCCATCCTGACCGCTCCGCCTCTTCATGCGCCTCTCTCTCTCTCTCCCTCCCTCCCCCTCTCTCGCCCGCACACGCATACGCCCGCGTGCCCACACGACCCAGGCCCCAGCGGCTATTCCATTGCCGCGGCTCACTTCTACAACGCCCTGCGCTCCAACGACCAGCCCGACCAGATGCTCTCCTACATGCAGCAGATCGTCCCCCCTGAGTGCATGCAGATGATCATCAAGCTTGTTCAGATGGACTTCGCTCGCAAGAACTAAGGGCCACGGCGCCGAGTGTGTTGCGTACGAGTATGTGCCTATGTGTACGCCCCCTCACGTACGCACGCGCACACACGCACATGCGTGTATGTGCTTGCCTTTCCCGTGTGAGAATGCCCCCCTCCCCCCCCTCTCGCACCCTGTCCCCCTGCTCCACCCCCCTCCCTTCTCCCTTGCCTCGGCCTCCGTCTTAGAGAGCGCGCTCTACCTGCGGCTGGGCGGCGCCTGTTGAAGCACGCGCCTGGCCGCGGCTGCCCGCTCATCCGCCCGCCCGCATCGAGCGCAGAGCAGACCCCTGTCCTTCATACCGCCTTCCCAATAAGAAAAATCCATATTCAAACATATCCCAACTGTGCGCTGCCCGTGTGCGTGTGTGTGTGTGTGTGTGTGCCATGCTCAGGGGGCAGAGGAAAAGCAGGGGGAAAGGCGCGGGGTCGTGTGTGCCGAGCCGAGGTGCCACCAGATAGCTGTGATCATGCCTGGGCGCCAAGGATCTCCCCTCCTCTCTCTCTCTCTCTCTCTCTCTCTCTCTCCCTCTCTCCCTTTCTCCCTCTCTCGCTCTTGGCCCCCCCGCTGTCTTGCACAAGCAACTGTCAAACAAACTCGCGCATCGCCATATATTTTTTCCGGACACGCATGGATACGCCAAAGAGGAGGCAGCAGATGGACGCGGGGAGGCGGAGAACGCCATGCTTCCCGGTCCAATGTGCAAGGCGAGAACATAAGAGGAGGAGCCCCTCGCCCGGTGGCCTGCCATTCTGCACGCTGACACTCTTGCTGGGGGGGGGGGAGGCACATTTCCCCGGCTCAGGCACATCTTTTACTCGGCCTTCTGGGCGATCTCATGCAGGTAGGCAGCCATGACCTTGATGCCGGACAGGTAGTTGACCTTGTCGAGCTTCTCGTCGGTGGAGTGGGCGTTGTCGTCGCAGGCACCCATCGGCAGGAGCAGGACGCTGGCCTCCGGCAGGGCGGTCTGGAACCACAGGGTCACCGGGATGGAGCCACCCTCGCGAGTGAGGTCCGGCTTGATGCCATCATGCACATGGGCGATGGCACGGGCAGCGGCACGGAAGTTGTAGTCCTCCGGGTTGGCGTACCACCAGGGGCCGCTGCTGACCAGGGAGGCCTTGACCTCGCAGCGGGTGCCGAGGGTCTTGGCCTTGGCATGGACGAAGTCGATGGCGCACTTGTTGACATGCTCGATGTCCATGTCGGGCACGGTGCGGATGGAGAACTTGCCGATAACCTTGGCCGGGATGACGGTCTTGGCACCGACACCATAGAAGGCACCCTCGATGCCGTGGAGGCTGAGGGAAGGGTTGCGCCAGCGAGCCATCAGGGTCTTGGCCTTGGCCTCCTCCAGGCCGAGGTCCTTCTCGTCGAAGACGACGCAGGTGCCATCGAAGGAGGCACGGAAGTCGTCCATGGAGAAGTCGATGTTCTTGTAGTTGGCCAGCTCCTCCGGGGTGACGGGGGCAACCTTGTCGTAGACACCGTCGATGAGGATCTTGCCGTTGGTGTCAACGAGACCGGCCATCAGCTGGGTCAGGGCGGTCATCGGCTCGTGCACAGCACCGCCGTAGACACCGGAGTGCAGGTCGCGCCCGGGGCCGGAGACCTCGATCTGGAAGTAAGACACACCGCGCAGGCCGTGGGTGATGCAGGGCTTGGTCTTGCCGAGCCAGTCTACATCACGCGGGAGGGTGGGTGGGTGGGTTGGGGAGGGGGGGGGGGGGCAGGTGCGCGCCGGAGTGAGTATGCCTGCGGGCGGGCACATGGACGGGGGGCGCATCTGTGGGAGTGTGTGTGGCATGTATGGATGGCTGTGTGCGGGAGAGTGGGACCGGGGGTGCACACGTACAGTTGTCGGAAATGCAGACGGTGTCAACGCCCTTGAGGAAGCCGTTGTGCTCCTTGGCGATCCACTCCTCGAGACCCTCGGAGCCGGACTCTGCGCACGCGGCGTGGACGACCACCGCGGGGCATGATGAATGATGTGAGCATGACAGCAGGAGGAATTGAAAAAAAAAAGGTAAAGAGGCGGGAAGAGGAGAAGAACGCACCCTCCATGCCCTCGAAGATGATGCGCAGGTTGACGGGGAGCTCCTTGCCAAGGGCGCGGTAAGCCTCGATCACCCAGATCCAGCCAAGGAGGGGACCTGGGCCATGGCGAATGAGGCGGTTAGCATGGGGGCGATTTGCCTTGGCATTTGCAGGGACAAAGAAAGCCAGGATGATGGGCAGCATCCGAACTGACGTACCCTTGTCGTCGGTGGTGCCACGGCCAACCATGCGGCCATCCTCGTGGACAACCATCTTGAAGGGGTCCGAGGACCAGCCGTCCTCGAGCTGGGCGGGCTGGACATCATAGTGACCTGATGGATGTAGGCACACGCACATACACATGCGCGGGCGCGGGCGCGGGCGCGGGCGCGGGAGGCACATGCGGTGAGTCACGCAAATGAGGCACAGGTGCGCGATGGCATGCTCCCTCTTCGTGGGTATCTCCCTGCCCCGGACGGGGCAAAGATCGGGACGCACCGTAAAGAGCCAGGGTGCGCTTGTTGGGGTCGTTGCCGAAGACGGCGAGGACCAGGGGCGGCAGCTCGAGCATCTTCTTGTCACCGACGGTGCCCTGGCCCTCGGTGCCAGGCTGCGGGCCCAGGGGGGCCAGGGTGACGGAGTCAGCGCCGGCCTTCTCCATGCGGGCCTTCAACCAGTTGGCCATGCGGAAGAGCTCCGGGCGGTGGTCAGGGGAGCCGGAGATGGAGGCGATGGCCACGGCCTCGCCGAGGAGGCCGATGTGCTCCTCAGCCTTGGTGTTCAGGTGGTCGAAGATCTGGTGCAGGTCGGTCATCTTTTGGGGCAGGAGAGGAGAGGGGGTTGGGCGGGGCACGGCGATGTGTGGATGTGTGAGTATCGAGTGAGGAGGGAGGGAGGCGGGCGGGAAAAGGATGCGATCGTGAGACGGAGGCAGGGGAGGGGTACTTTGATGGGGCGGGGGGATTTCGCTCTTTCTGGGTGGGCAGGGGCTTGGGCAGAAGAGAGATGTCCAAGGCGGTGAACGCCGGGGGGGCTGTGGTCGGGGCCTGAAAAATGCCTTCCAGCGAGCGCCGGCGCCCACGCAAACATCCCTCCCTGCCCGCACCGGTGTGCGGCTCGGAGGAAACGGCCCCCCCCCCCCCCCGGTGAGAGAGCTCCGAGGGGTGTAAACATGTGGGCAAAAACGTTCACGACTGCCGGGGGATTTCCACACCTATAGAGTCCCCCTCACCCCCCCTCCGCTCGCCCCCTGCTGGTGCGATCAGACGCCCTACGCCCCGACACGCACGCACGCACGCATGCTCACACACACACAGGCACACAGGCACACAGGCACACAGGCACACAGAGGCACACAGAGGCACAGACGCCCACACAGACATGTAAATAATGCACCGCAGCCGGGCGAGAGCCCTGGGCCCATTGATGGCTCTGGAGAATCCCCAGGCCTGGCCGGGTTTGGGCCCGCCTTTGAGTAGTCACTACCCCCGGGGCTTGGCTGGCCCGGCCCCCTTTAGGGTGGATGCGCGAGCGCCGGCACGAGGCAAGTGGGAAAAAAAAAAAACACACCTATCCACCCACATGCACCCCCGATGCTCACCCCTGCTGGTATCGGGCGAATGCGCATCCGTCCCGCCGGCCAGAATGGTCTGCCGGGCCCAAACATGCACTCAACAGCGATCCCCGCCGGCGCAGCTGGGGGGATGCCGGGGGATCAAGCCACGCCCTGGCGGCAGTGCATAGTACACGCCCCCAGGAAAGGACCGGGTACTGCACCGGCGTTTGCCCCCCCCCCCGGTGTTCCCTCGCCGCCAGTGTGCTTCTGACCCCCCTCCCCCCCAGAGTCGCGCCCCTCGTCAGACTACAAAGAGGGTGGGGGTCTCAGGCGCCTAAAATCCCGGATTAAAAGCCGAGCGTCATCATATGATACACAGTGGTCACAGGCCACACACAAATCACCCCCCGATCGTCTCTGGGCCAAAGGACACCAGCCCCCAGTGGGGGGCGGTGGGACAGCGCAGCGACAAGCGCCCAGTGTGCCCCCCTCTCCATCTCTCGCGCCTCTCTCGCCCCTCTCTTGCCCCTCTCTTGCCCCTCTCTTGCCCCTCCCTTGCCCCTCCCTCGTCTCTCGTTTGCGCCATGTCCGCCCCCGCGCCCTCCTCGGTGGGCGCCCCCGCTGCCTCCTCGCGGACAATCTACCCATCGCCCTTGGCATACAATCTGCGTCGTGTCCGGCACTTGTGCGATCTCCCGGCGCCCTCTCGACCCACTGCTCCGCCCCGCTCCGGTCTGTGTTTCTCTAACATCGGCGCACCGTGTTTCCCTCCATCAGGCGGACAATTACATCGGCCGGGGCCGGGGCTGTCGCCGGCCTGCTCGGTCTGACCGGGCTCTGGGGGCTGGCATTGCTGTTCGCCGCCAGCCTGGCCATGTCCCTGACGATTCGCATTCAAACCGGCACCACGGCCATGACCCTGGGGTCGGACTTCCGCGCGGTGGCCGGGTCCCCGGCAGCCGCCAACTCCCATGGGTCATCACAACTGTCCCTCTATGAGGCCGTGGCCTCCGGATCACTGGCCTTCTTTCTCAAGCGCCGCGACGCGCACATCCTCGCCGCGGATGCGGTGAACACCCTCATCGTGCGCACGATCCCCACCCGGGTGTCTTTGACCGTCTGGCTGGCCGTGCCTAGGTGTTCGCCGCTAACTCGTCTTCAATCTGGCTGCCTTTCTGCGTTCTGCCCCCCCCCCCCCCTCCCCCCTTCTTCGGACCGTGCCTTGCAGACATTCATCCTCTTCTGGACGTGCGTTGCCTGCTCCTGCTCGGTCCCTCCTCAGGAACAGGTCGGCCCTCACTCGCCCCTTGCCAAATGTGCTCTAACTCGCCTCCCCGCCGGGGATCCGCACACTGCGCAGCATCACCTACGCCCTGGTTCACATCTATTGATCTCCAGCCGACCCTGCTCTGTTCTGTGCCGGCCCGACCGTGGGCTTTTTCACGATCTTCCGGACGATCTCCAGAAGCAGATTCACATATACAGATTCCGAATAAACAGAAACACATCAAATTCAGCACCGCCAGCGGAAATTCCGCCCCCCAAACAATTGTGTCGACAAATTCCCTCGCCCGCCCCCCCACCCCCCTCCCCCGCCCCGTGCCGCGCCCCGCGTCCGGCCCCTCCATTGTCAACTCTGGGACTTCTCTCGACCTGGAAGCCCTGTGCAGTGGCGGCAGCACTGGTGGCGACAACCGGCCCCCGGCAGGCACATTTCTCCCTCCCACCCTGGCTGTTCTCTCAGGGGGGGCACAAGGATGGGGTATGCACAGGGGGACTTCCGTCCCAGGGGGTCTCGATGCTCTGGTCCCCCTGCCCGCCTGCCCGCCAGCCCCGACCAGGACTGGCATCTCGCTTTCTTCCCCGTCGCGCTGCCCGCCGGGGGCAAGATCCAGCGGAGGATGACGGTCGAGCCCCCCCCCCCCGCCCCCCCCTCCAGCCCCCGTCCGAACCGATTGGGTCCATCCGGCGAAGTGTGCCCCCTCCCCCCGCTGTCTTCCCCACCGATTCCATTTTTCGGCCCCCCCTGCATTGGCGTCCTCTCCGAGCCGGGGAGGAGCTCCATACCAACCTCCCCGCCCTCCCCCTTGCCACCATTACGCGCTGCCCATCTCCTCCTTCCCCTCCCCCCCCTCCCCCC